AAATATATAAATATTAACCCTTTAACTCTTGTCACCCAATCTTATTTACCAAGCCCTAGATTCACCACCCAGAAACCCCCTCTCCCGTCGCGCTGCCTCCGTCTACTACACAGTCCGCCGCCACCACCGCCGACCTATTCAACCACGCCCGCTGCCACTGCCGACCTCTCCAGCCATGCCCGCCGCCGTCAAATAACCGCCGCCACCATCAATTCCTTCTCTATTTGCACATCCACACTTGACGAAACTCGGCGATGACACACAATTTCTCTTCTATTTAGAAGTTTACATTTGACAAATCTTCCAATGCCGGATTCAACTAAGCGAGATCCCGAGGCTTCTATTAAACCCAAAACAAAGATAACGAAGTACATTCAAGTACCATCTATGCCAAGAAAGATAGCAGATTTCAACAACGAGAAGCTCTTTCGGCCAAGCGGACAAAATTGGTGGTTCGATTTTCAATATTGCATAATGTTTTTATGGTGATCATGCGTATATGTACATTCTTAATTAGTCTCTTTTAGAAAAAAACAAAAATCAACACAGTTATTCCTAAAAATTTGTTGGCCTCCGAACACATACGATGTATATTCATGACGTATATGTTGTTTAACTCATGATAGACTGATGATACTAAACCTTATTGTGCACACTTTTATTTCATATTATAGTTTATATTTATGATTTACATAGTTATGATATATTGATATCATAACTATATTAGATATATTTTTCACCATTATGTTTATAAATATGATATATAATTTTAGTAGACATGATATATACATCAAATATAAATATTGCATATAGGGATGTTACACGTATAGTTATGATATATTTCATTTTATGATTTCTATTTATGATTTATATATTGCATAGTTATGATGTATTGGTCAGGTTTAAATGATGAATTATGTTATATATATTTTTCACCATTATATTTATATGTATAACTGAGTGGCTACATCATCTGAACATGTTCATTTATTATTGGGGTAAACTTTACTATTATTTTTGAACCCTTTCTTTATTGCGACAATAATGAATGTATTGTATATTTGAAGATCACTTTTTGTCTTTTTGCATTTGTTTTTGCACGAAAAATCTTGTCTATGATTGGATAAATATTTTATATGTTTTTTAGGCATTTAAATAATGAAAAAACAATAGATATGATTTAATTTGAAGACTCCTTCAACTCTTCATACTTGTAGGAGGTTGATCCTAAATTTAAGGGTAAATTTTAAATTTAACACTTCAAAATTTGGATAAAGTATACTCTTTATCTTATTGGTTTCAAATATAATTTCATAGAGCAATCGATTAAATTATATTAGAAAATTAAAATTTTTAAGTGAATACTTACATAAAATCTATAAACATATAATAATATTTAAAATCGTCTCAAGAAAATAATGTAAATAAATTTATTTTTTTTATTTTATACTACATATCATTCACACAAATATTGGATTCGACAATTAGGATAAATTTAATGTATCTAATTGAACTAATGGAAGCCTGCAAGTCTTCTATTGTTTTAGCCATTGATTAAATAATTCTTGTGTGCAACTATTGATACGTTGATTGACTAATACGACTATGATGCATATATATTTAGAATATGATGTTTAGAATATACATATATGATGTAATAAAAATTCATCAATACGTTACTTTCGCGATTGATAAAAAAACTTACCCCATTCTGTAGTTTCTAAAACGTTATCTTCGTCCACAACGCACTGGAACGAACCGAAATGCACATCATTTTGCTTCAACTTGTTCTACGCTCTGACTTCTTCACAATTTATTTTCTTGTATGGATGTAGGTGAAAGAATATGTAGTTATTATTATTATTATTTTTTTTTGATGTGAACCGACTAAAATTATGAATACGACTTGCATCTATTTGTATTTATATTCCCTTAATTTACGCTAAAACAAAGCATTGACTTATTAATTATTAAAATCAAATTACATATCTACCCCTAACTGCAATCTCACCCGTTGATTAAGATTTTGATCGGGCGACTGACATTTTTTCAGATAATCCTGAATATTGTATTCAAGACCATACCTGGATTGTTAAAAGAAAAACAAACATGTTCATAACAATATACTCTAATCAAGATTCTTATCCTATAAAAATATTACTAAAAATATATAACATATAAATATTTTCTCCAATCCGGGTATGGTCTTGAATACAATATTCAGGAGCGTCCTGAAAAAATTTCAGCCGTCCGATCAAAATCTTAATCAATGAAAGAGATTACAGTTAGGGGTAGATATGTAATTTGATTTTAATAATTAATAAGTCAATGCTTTGTTTTAGCATAAATTAAGGGCTTTTTTTCACCGCCATCCATCCAAGAAAATAAATTGTGAAAAAGTCGGAGCATAGAACAGTTTTCAAATTAAAACATATCTATTATTTTTTTCATTATTATTTAAATGTCTAAAAAACATATAGAATATTTATCCAGTCATATATTACGTAAAAAAAGGAAAGCAAGTGATTTAGTTACTCAATATTCGCGCATGAGCGACATCATGATACTAAATCCCGTAAACAATATTACATTAAAATAAACAATATATTTTATAACGGTGTATATCATTTGACTCTTCAAGTTACGACTATTAGACAAATGCATCTTTTTCAAGCTCCAACAATGCGTACAAGTCATATTATAAATATGCGCATAGACAAAGATTCGCGTTGCAAAAACAAATGCAATAAAGACAAAAGGTGATCATCAAATATACAATACATTCATTATTGCCGCAATAAAAAGGGTGCAAAAATAACAGTAAAGTTGACCCCAATAATAAGCGAACATGTTCAGAGGATGTTGCCGCTCAGTCATACATATTAATATAATGGTGAAAATATATATAACATAATTCATCATTTAAACCTGGCCAATACATCATAACTATGCAATATATAAATCATAAATATAATCGTAAAATGAAATATATCATAACTATATGTGCAACATACCTATATGCAACTTACATCATTTATATATGATGTATATATTATATCTATGGAAGTTATATATCATATTTATAAACATAATGGTGAAAAATATATCTAACATAGTCCATCGTTTAAATCTGATCAATATATCATAACTATGCAATATGTAAATCGTAAATATGAACCATAACATGAAATAAAAGTGTGCACAATAAGATTTAGTATCATCAGTCTATCATGGGTTAAACAACATATGTGTCATGAATATACATCGTACGTGTCCGGAGGCCAACAAAAAGATTATTAGGAATAACTGTGTTGATATTTTTTTTTAGAAAAGACTAATCAAGAATGCACATATACTCATTATCACCATAAAAAGATTACGCAATATTGAAAACACAACCACCAAATTTGTCCATTTGGCCGAAAGAGCTTCTCGTTGTTGAAATCTGCTATCTTTATTGGCACAGACGATACTTGAATGTGCTTTGTTCTCTTTGTTTTGAGTTTAATAGAAGTCTCGGGATATCGCTTAGTTGAATCCGATATTGGAAGATTCGTCAAATGTGAACTTCTAAATAAAAGAGGAATTGTGCGTCGTCGCCGACTTCCGTCAAGTGCGGATGTGAAGATAGAGAAGGAATCGATGGCGGGGCTGGTTATTTGACGCCGGCGGGCGTGGCTGGAGAGGTCAGCGGCAGTGGAGGCAGACTGTGTTGTAGACGGAGGCAGCACGACGGGGGAGGGGGTATCTGCGTGGTGAATTTAGGGCTTAGTAAATAAGATGGGGTGTGAATTGTTAAAAAAGTTAATATTATATATATACGATTTTTAATTTATTTAAATAATTGTCATATCATAATCGGCGAGTTGATAAAATGTATCATAATACATTTATTTGGACATCGTTTAATCAAATTATATAAGAAAATTATTTCATGGTAAAACATCGTAATAGTATTATAGAGACATCATTTTGTGATATTGTATACATCATTATAAGTTGAATGTATACAATTTTGAAAATAATTATTTGCAAACGTTTCTATTTCGTTTAAGAAAAATTTAATCCCGAAATTATAAGAGGTAGTTACAATCATTTTTTCTAATTGATTTTTTTAATTAAATATCTTAATTAATTTTTTGAATTACCAAAATACCCTCAATCAAACTCAATGGTTGGATTGCCAATAGAAATGATCCAACGGATTAAAAACATTCAGGATACTCTTGAATTTTAATCAACATCGGGAGGATACTAAAATTCTATTTTTCTCACTATCGACAACACCTTACACTGTTAATAAACGACAAAATAATATAATTATCAATGTAACGTACCGACAAAAGTGTAATCTAACTTGGGACTATCTGTTTGTTATATTTTTACCTTATCGAGGTTTCTTATTGTTACGTACGAAATTTAGAATTAGGTTAAAAGCCCAAGGTAAAAAGAAGAATGGGCCTGGCAATAGAGTTGATTGAACTGACTGAAGGGCACCATGAGGAAATCAAGGAAAATAGGTTTATTACTAAGGAAAGTCCTCAGGTCGGAAGGTCTTCAGGTCGGTAGGTCCTCAAGACGGAAAGACCTCAGGTCGGAAGGTCTTCAGGTCGGGAGGTCCTCAAGACGGAAAGTCATTAGGATGGAAGGACCTCAGGTCGGTAGGTCCTCAAGACGGAAGGACCTCAGGTCGGAAGGTCTTCAGGTCGGGAGGTCCTCAAGACGGAAAGTCATTAGGACGGAAGGACCTCAGGTCGGAAGGTCTTCAGGTCGGGAGGTCCTCAAGACGGAAAGTCATCAGGACGGAAGGACCTCAGGTCGGTAGGTCCTCAAGACGGAAAGACCTCAAGTCGGAAGGTTTTCAGGTCGGGAAGTCCTCAAGGCGGAAAGACCTCAAGTCGGAAGGTTTTCAGGTCGGGAGGTCCTCAAGACGGAAAGACCTCAAGTCGGAGTCCTCAAGGCGGAAAGACCTCAAGTCGGAAGGTTTTCAGGTCGGGAGGTCCTCAAGACGGAAAGACCTCAAGTCGGAAGGTTTTCAGGTCGGGAAGTCCTCAAGGCGGAAAGACCTCAAGTCGGAAGGTTTTCAGGTCGGGAGGTCCTCAAGACGGAAAGACCTCAAGTCGGAAGGTTTTCAGGTCGGGAAGTCCTCAAGGCGGAAAGACCTCAAGCCAGATGGTTCGCAAGTCGGGAGGATTGGCAGTCGGACCCATACTATTGTAGATTGGCAGTCGGGCCAAAAGAGCGGAAGGTCTGTGGTCGGCTCAAAGAGTGAAATATAGGGATAATTTTGGTCTGCTGGGGACGCGTGTCAGCATGAGAAGGGTTGGAAGACGGTTGGGAAGGAGACGTTGTAACCGTTCGGGTGACGGTTTTCGGTACGGTTTCCCAGAGAATATTTAAAGGCTTGGTCATTTGGCAAGGCATCTTCAATCAACTTCAACAAAGCAAAGTCAGATTTGGGGATCACCACTTTAAATTTCAGTCTTTTATTTTCCAGTTTATTTTCTGTACCATACAGTGTTTAGAGATTCCTAATCTCAGGCACTAATTAATCAAGTTTAAGGATATTTTCTATATCTTTGAATTTTACTTTATTTTTGTTGAAAAATTACATCAACAAATTGGCGACCACAGTGGGAGCAAGACAAAATTGCTCATTCCAATTCCGGCGATAATTTCATACGTCTTAGATCCGGCCGAATCATCGGAAGGGTCCATATGGCAGGTTCACAACCACAATCATCTTCGGCACCGGTGGGAGAATCCGTTCCACCACCTATTGTGCCAAATGCCGGGGAAATCCCACAACCACCAACTGATTGGTGGTCTTATGTTCAACAAATGAACAACCAGCATACTTTGGTTATGCAGAATATGTTGCGTGAGCAACAAACGAACATGTTGCGTGAGCAACAGAGTCTGATGCAGAACATGATAGATCAAGCACTGTCAAGGGTTAGTCTTCAACCCACTCAAACGCCACCAGGAGTGTCACCGTCCAGACCACAGGCAAATTTTGCAGGGCCATCATTCGTGGATAGTACATTCCCAAGTGCCACAAATCCCAACCGTATGGATAGGGGAAAATCTCCTTTGACCTTTCCCAACAATGTTCCACTGGGACCAAGGGTTACCAATCCGCAGCCAAACAATACAAGGGAGGATAGGCCTGAAGGATATATACATGATCCTATTCATATTCCTGAGCAGGATCCGTTCCATGTTCCTGATCATCAACGCTTTCATGTAGATCCTGATGAGATTGCACACATATTAAGGGATCAGTATGGATTAACTCCTCAGATGGCTAACCGCCCTGCATATCAGAGACCTTTCCCAGAAAGGATCATTAATGAACACCCTCTCCCAAGGAATTTTCGACCACCCGATTTTCATGCATTCTCAGGGGAGGACGGATCTTCCACCATAGAACATGTTGGTCGGTTCACAGCACAATTAGGAGAAGTTGGCAATAACCCTTTTTATAAGTTACAGCTGTTTGGTTTATCTCTTACTAGAACGGCGTTTTCGTGGTTTGTAAGTCTGCCTCCTGGACAAATTCAGACATGGGAAGGACTGGAGATGGCATTTCACGCTAGATTCTTCAATCCTTTACCAGTTGTTTCTTTAACTGATTTACTAGAATTGAGACAGTTTCCAGAAGAATCTGCTTCACAGTTTATAGAAAGGGTGCGATTGATGAAAGGACGATGTCCTACGGTAATCAGTGAGAAAGAGATGACTAATTTAGTGGTCCGGAATATGCATACTCGTTTAAGAAAGGCACTCACTGCCCTGGATGTGGAGGATTTGGCAAGTCTTGCATCCAAGGCAGGACGTTTAGAGTCTTTGTTCAGAGAGGAAGATCAGCATAACAGGCGTAATAGAGGCCAACATATGGCGAGTATGGGAACAGAAACATGTGACTTTGATTTTAATCAATCAGAAGAGATGGCAGCCGAAATCCTTTCTGGAAAACCTTATGTATGCCCTAAATTGAAGCCAGTACCAGGATCTGAAGGAAAGGAGCAACCGACTTTTGATAGTTCGAAAGCTGATGAAATCTTTGATATCCTACTGACTGATGGGCAGATCCGTATTCCAAAGGGGCAAAGATTGGCCACTAAAGAAGAAATCAAAGGGAGACCATATTGTAAGTGGCATAATTCTTTCACACACAATACAAGTCAGTGTACTCATTTCAGGAAGGAAATTCAAAAGGCCATCAAGACAGGTCGGCTCAAATACATCACTTTAGGTGTAGACCAGCAACCGTTTCCAAAAGTAACAACGGAAATGGTTGACATCCAACCAAGTTTGGAAACAGGGAAAAGTTCGGCCAATAGTGGGCAAACAGGGGAACGAACTCAGGCAAGCCCCGGAACAAAGAAAGGAAATCAGCCAAACAGCAGCCGACCGGAAGAACGATTCAAAGTTGTTGAAAGGCCAGTCGCTGAAAAATGGGACCGTCCAGACGGTTCTTTTAACGTGGAGGTGAAAGAAAAGGTTTTAGTGCGTGACCACCCGACCAGAAAAACAGGGTCAGTCGGGAACAATTGGGCTCGAAATAAAAAGCCTTTACCAGTTGATATAGATCCTCGTTTCCCAGGTATGAATCGTACACAGATTCGCAATGCCAAACGCAGGTATGCTGCAAAGTATGGGAAACGAGTTCCTTCAGCAAAACAACTAACCGACGAGCAAAAAACAGCCGACCATTTGGCAGGAGATCATTCCATTCGGGTCTTTACAGAACAAACGACCAACGAGCAGGGAGCAGCCATTCAGTCTCCAATTGGTCGGTCCAGTCGGGTCTGGTCAGGAAAGCAACCGAATGACGGATTAGGCGCTTCCGACCATACCAAAAGAAGTTCGTCGGGACAGGGGAAAGGTAAAGGAATGGCAGATGAAATAATTAAAGGTTTTAGATGCCAACATTGTGAACGGATCAACATCAATCCATCTCTTGAAGATTTCCGTATAGAATCTTTGACGCTTCAACCTCAGAACAAGACGAAGGAAGAAGTTCTAACTACAGAGGAAAGTTCAAGATCTGTTAAATCTCGTCTGGGACCACGAATCCCTTGTCGAATGACAGAGATTAATCAGATGAGAGATGAACCGATATGGGCGAGTCTGGTAGATGATACTATGGACGAACCGTTATGGGCATTCTTGGCAGATGATGAATTAGAGGAAACAGAGTGGGCAAAGACTTCAGATTCTGAGCCTCAGCCGGAGCCACCTTCGATTGTGTTTCCTCCTATTCCAGAGGGTGCGATCTCCCATTTGAAGCCTCTGTATGTTAATGCTCATATTTGTGGGAAACCAATCACAAAGGTTTTCGTGGATAATGGAGCAGTTTTTAATGTTATGCCATTGAAGACTCTCAAGAAGCTAGGGAAAGGAATTCATGATCTGTCTCCTGTGGAATTCGAAATGACAAGTTTTACAGGGCAGCCGACTAAGCCTGAGGGCATGATGGTTGCCACAATCGAGGTCGGACCAAAGAAGATCTCCACTGTTTTCTTTATTGTGGACGCAGATACTACATACTCTCTCTTGCTGGGAAGAGACTGGATTCATGCCTCTCAATGTGTGCCTTCAACCCTGCACCAACAATTAATGTTCTGGGAAGGAAATCAGGTCTTCAAAATGGAAGCGAATGACAACCCATTCGATGTATCAGAACAAGTTGAAGAGTCAGTGTTTTATTCCAGTCATTTGGCTCCGATGTCTCAGTTGTATATGGCCAGGGAATACCCAAACAAGGGTTATAAAGTTACTGGCCAGAACTCGATGTTCTATTAAAAGAACACCTTTATTGTATGGCTCATGATAAAGCCACACCCATTCCCATATAATTTGTTTGTTATGGATGATACAAGCTTAGAAGTATGTAGTTCTCTTATTAATAAGTTCTATTTAAAGCAGTTATTACATAAAGCAGAAAATAGTAAAGAGATTCTGGATGTTCACCTCCAAGAAGATGAACAATTTCGTTGGCCCGACTTATTAGAAAAAACAGAACCAACAGCTTCATCACAAGACCCATTATTGGAGTTTAATTTAGGAACCGAATTGGTTCCAAAAGTGATCAGGTTAAGTGGTTATTTGTCTAAAGAGCAACAAACAATGATGCTCGAAGTTATTAGAAACAACATTGATTGTTTAGCATGGGATTATTCAGAGATGCCTGGTTTGACAAGAAGTCTAATAGAGCATCGATTGCCTATCAAAAAAGGTTGTAAACCTTACAAACAACCTCCAAGGCGAATGAGCCCGGATCTAATGCCTCAAATCAAGGAAGAAATCCAAAAACTTCTCAAAGTGGGTTTTATTCAGCCTTGCCGTTATGCGGAGTGGCTGGCTAATATTGTGCCAGTGGTCAAGAAAAATGGTAAGATTAGGATATGCATCGATTTCAGGGATTTGAATCTAGCTACCCCTAAGGATGAATATGTGATGCCTATGGCCGACATGTTGATAGATGCAGCAGCAGGGCATAAAATCCTTAGTCTGATGGATGGTTATGCAGGTTATAACCAAATATTTCTGGCAGAAGAAGACATTCCTAAGACAGCATTCAGGTGCCCAGGGGCTTTAGGTATTTATGAATGGACAGTCATGCCATTCGGGTTAAAGAATGCAGGGGCAACTTACCAAAGAGCCATGAATTCAATCTTTCATGATTTAATTGGCAGATCTATGGAAGTGTATATTGATGATGTTATTGTTAAATCTGCCAGTTTTGATGAACATTTGAGAAATCTTGAAGAGGCATTCGAAAGAATGAAGAAGTACAAGTTGAAGATGAATCCAACCAAATGTGCTTTTGGAATATCAGCCGGGAGCTTTTTAGGATTTTTAGTTCATGAGAGAGGAATTGAAATCGATGCCAACAAGGCTAAAGCCATTCTTGATAGTCGGCCACCCAAGACGATTAAAGAAATCCAAAGTCTTTTGGGTAAGGTGAACTATTTGAGGCGTTTCATTTCTAATGCTGCTGGCAAGGTCAGACCCATCACTAAATTGTTGAAAGCTGGAAAAAATGCTTTTGAATGGGGTCCCGATCAACAGATGGCTTTAGATGCTATCAAGCAGGCATTGGTTC